AAAAAAAAAAAAAAAAAGGGATGAAGCATTTGTGGGGCTAAATAAAACTTCCCCAAAAGGGGCAGAACCAGAGAACCTTAGGGGCATGTTTGAAGGATGAAGCCAGCAGGAACACAGGAACTGAACACTGGTCTCAGTTTTACTCAGCAGGCCCTACAGTTTTTGAATCTGGGATCTCTTAACATCCGTCAGAAACCAGCCATTTGCCCCTACAGCAAAACTTCAGCCATTCCTCCCTAGGCAGGACATTCTATGAACCCCAACTGTCCTCGGAGTGTTTGCCTCCTTTTCCCATCCTTTCCTCCACCCACAACCCTTTGTTCTGAAGATCTCACAACACCTTAAGCCTGTCATTGTGGAGACTGTGCCATCCTAGACCCGATCTCAATCCCTTTTCCACGAAGGAAGACAAAGGAGGGAGCGACTTCTGACTGAAGACTCCTGAAGCTATCTGCCCCGGCCTGGACAGAGGTCTCCTCTGCACCTCTCCCGTGATTCCCGAATCTGACAGTGGTCTCACTAAGCCAGGCCCGTGTAGTATCTCTACAACATCTGTGTGGATTTGATTATTTTTTACAGTTTTTATTTGATTTTGAGAGAGAGAGAGAGCGTGTGTGTGAGGGAAGGGAAAGAGAGACAGGGAGAGAGAGAATCCCAAGCAGGCTCCTCTCTGACAGCATGGAGCCTGATGCAAGGCTCTAACTCACAAACCATGATAGCATGATGCAAGCTGAAGTCAGATGCTTAACCAATTGAGCCACCCAGGCACCCTGTGTGGATTTTAATAGAAAACAAATATTTTTTCTTTCCATCATGTTGGCCAAGAAGGGAGTGAGACAAATCAGGAATCTGGGCCATCTGGGCCCTGGGGATGTAAGACAGGTGAGAGTGGCTTTAGCAGCATAGTGAGGACGGATGTGGGTGGGTGGCTAAAAGGCTGGGCACTGAGATTGGGGGATGGGGGTGTTTCTGAGGGGCTGTGCTTGAAAGCCTCGAAACCTGGTATTATCAGACTGGTGGTGGGCATGGCTGGTAATCTTACACCTGCCAGGAGAGGGCCAAAGCAGCATAGTTATGAGGTGTAAGTCCTGAGACTAAAGAACTTTTGGGGGGTGGTTAAAGGGACCTGGGCTTGGGATTAGATGGTAGAAGGAAGACATGGCTGCGGAGTCCCTCAGATTGCAGGGTTAGAGACCCAACCTTGAGCAATACCTAAAGGTGAGGGTAGAAGAGGATACAGCAGGTTAGGAACATAGAAAAAAAGAAAACAGGAGAGCATGGCAGAAGTCAATGGAAGTCAATGGACTTGCAGAAGGAAGTAAGAAGTCGTCAATCAGGTGCAAAGACCGCTTCCCCAAGAGGACCATAGCTCGGTACCTCTCTTCTCAGAAGCTGGGCCTCTGCCATCTTCACGCTCACAGAGGGCATAAGGGGTCAGAAGACTGTCCCTGAAGCCCACTCATGTACGGTGGACAGATTTGACTCTCAGTGTTTCTTTTTTTTTTAATTCCTTTTTTAAAGTTTATTTATTTAGAGAGAGAGAGCATGCACGCAAACTGTCAGCACAGAGCCTGACGCGGGGCTCGATCTCATGAACTGAGAGATCATGACCTGAGCTGAAATCAAGAGCCAGGTGTTTAACCCACTAAACCACCCAGGCTCCTGAGTCTCAGTGTTTCTTAAGAGGCCACCTCCAGCTAACACTATACCCTCACTCCCTGTACATAAGATTTCTCCCTGAGCATATCCTCTGCTGTGTAATGAGGAGTGATATCCAGCTAACGCCTAGCCCACATTCCCTTACAATCAAGACTTCTCCCCTGTGTGTGTCCTCTGGTGTGTCTGATGGATAACTTGTTGCTAGGTCACACCCTTGCTCCTTGTACACCTAAGGCCTTTCCCTTGAGTGTGTCCTTTGATGTGTGCTGAGAGTAGACTTGTGGCTAAAGCCTCGCCCACACACCATGCACTTGTAAGGCTCCTCTCCTGTGTGTGTCCTCTGCTGTGTGCTGAGGACTGTCTTGTGGCTAAAAGCTCACACACACACACAAGGCTCCTCCCCAGAATGCGTCTTCTGGTGGGTGATGAGGTATGATTTCACCCTAAAGCCACAGCCACAGTTCCTGCACACATAAGGCTTATCTCCTGTGTGAATCCTCTGGTGCTTCATGAGGTCTGATTTTTCCGTAATGCCTCACCTATACACTGTGCACACGTTCTCCCTTGTGTGTGTTCTCTGGTGTCTGATGACGTGTGACTTGCAGCTAAAAGCTTGCCCACACTCCCCGCACCCATGAGGCTTTTCCCCTGTGTGTGTCCTCTCATGTCTGATGAAATGTGACTTCCCACCGAAGCCTCGCCCACACTCCCTGCACACGCGTGTTTCCCCTGTGACTGCCTTGTGTCTGAGTAAGTTTGTCTTCCGGCTGAAATCTAGTCCACGCTCTCCAAACTCCACTGCTCCAAATCCTCAGGCTTCTACCCTCTCAAGAACCTTGTGTGCTTTCCCAGAGCATGTCCTAGGGGCTGGCCTGAGTTGTACCTTCAACACTCAATTGCCTGTCTGGGAGCTGGGGTGAACTAGGGGAGTCCCCCTCTCAGTTATACTCCCAGATAAGGATTTAGAATCTCCCCTTGCTTGATTGTCTGCTTCGGCCCCCCGGTTGGTTTTCATCAGAATGCTGTTGCTGCCGCTGCTGATACTCTGGGCAAGAATCTCCTGGTCGGAGTGGATTTACTGAGTGCAAATCTGGAATAGGACGACTGCGCAGCTCATGTTGACTAAGAAATTGCTGCTCGTCAAAGGCCAGAGGGCAGGAGGGCCAGGGATGGACTTCTGGATTTGATTCTGCTGAAGAAAGGAAGTTCCCAAAGTATTCACAGGAAAAGTTCACTGGGTTCTTCTTCCTTGTCTTACAGTTAAGATCTAGCCCGTCAATCGTTCACAATGACTCATGTCTGTCTCCCCGAGATGTGCTTTACAGGACCTACGTTTCCATTCACCTTCTTTAAACTTTTTATTTGGATACAATTTCAAATGTACAGAATAGTTGCAAGATTAAGAACAATACAAAGAAAACATCTAAGCACCCTCTACCCAAATTACCTATTGTTAACATGTATATGTTATATGTGTGTGTGTGTACATGCATATGTATGTATATGTTTTTTCTGAGCCATTTGAGAGTATACAGCATACATCATGACTCTTTACCCCTAAATACTTTGGTGTGGATTTCATAAAAGTAGGGATATTCTCGGGGTATCTGGGTGGCTCAGTCACTTAAGCATCTGCCTTCAGCTCAGGTCATGATCTCACAGTTTGTGGGTTCGAGCCCCACATTGGGCTCTGTGCTGACAGCTCCGAGCCTGGAGCCTGGTTCAGATTCTGTGTCTCCCTCTCTCTCTGCCCCTCTCCCACTTGTACTCTCTTTCAAAAATAAATAAACATTACATTTTTTTTTAATTTAAAAATAAGTAGGGAGATTCTTTCATAACTGCAATATAGTTATCAACTTCAATAGATTTGACATTTATGTTATAACTGTATCTAACTCCCATATATATTCCAATCCTGTCATTTGAACCAATAATGTCCTTTATAGCACTTTGCCTGAAGTACAGGATCCAGTCTAGGATCAGGTATTATAAGTAGTTATTATGTTTCTTTAGTTTCCTTCCCCTATTTTTAGAGAACACTCTCATGTTCTAGAATACATGAAGAGCATTCCTGATGTTCTTCCATAATTAGATTCAGATTATGCACTACATTCAAATTTTACATATCACATCTTTTACTAGAATGCAAAAAAAGAAAAAAAAAAAAAACCACAGCAGAACCTATTGTTCACATTATCCCAACAAGGAATACTCCAAGTAAACATCAGGGGAATCTTCTGCTCTGTAAGTATCTGCAATTATACTAAAATTATCTTCTAGGCCATAGCCAGCTACACTGACACATATAGCTACAACCATTTGTTAGCATCAAGAGAGAACAATCGTTGTGATCTCTATGGGAATGTCCTTTGTGACTTTTCCTATGGGAAGAAAGAATAGTTGACGTAGGAATCACTCAGTCTGGATGTCCTCCAATGCAGAAGGCAATATGGAACGGTTGTTAAAGAGCATATGTGAAAACTACATCTGAGTTTCCCCATCCATTCACAGATATCTGTTAGAGGACTAGTATGAATCAGCTTGTACCAGGAAGTGGAAGTTCAGCAGCAGAAAAACAGGCAGGCAAAACAGACTTAAGTGATGTTGGCTCTTGCCCTCCCACCCCCTCAATTAGTTCAAGATCTGCTCTGCTCTGTTTTCCACAAATCAGCACATACCAAAATGTTTACCATTTGGCGGCACTAACCTAAGAAATATCAAAACTGGATTGCAATTGTTTCTGATCAGCTGAAGATGATAAAACATGGACTCTTGGTAATCAGAGGAGACCAGACCCTTTACTGACCCCAACTGAAGACTCTTTCCTGATTAATAAGAGGATTGCTTTAATCAAATATGTACAGACCCACAGATTCATTCCATCCTATTCAGAACGCTAACTTTTGGGGCGCCTGGGTGGCGCAGTCGGTTAAGCATCCGACTTCAGCCAGGTCACGATCTCGCGGTCCGTGAGTTCGAGCCCCGCGTC